ATGTCTGTTTTAATTGTCCAATGGCCACAGTGCTGTAAACACTCATTTTTAAGAACTTGTTGCAAAGATGATATCTTTAGGATAAATACCTATAAATGGACTGGCTGAGTCAAAGACTTGCAAAATTCAAGTTTGGTTTAATCTTTTTTTAAAATTTGGTGTTTTGGGGTTGATTTTTTTTTTCTTACATTTTATCAGTTTGTACATAATCATTTGTATATATCATGTTTTCTACATGTGCTTTATGTTTTGTACAGTCATTTGTGTACATTATATCTTATATAATTAATTACCATTGCTCTGTAGGCATATTATAACCTGTTTTTTGAAGCCGTCATTAAACCTTTCTTCACCCTTTTCTTCTTTGCCCTTTGAACATTTATATGCAAGTTACTTTGTTATCTTCCTGTTTTTACGGTAGTGACCTTACATAATATTTGTCTTTATGTGACTGAGGTATTTCATTGATTAATGCTCTCCAATTTCTTAAAAAATTATTGCTCCTGAGTGTTACATAGTATTCTATTGTATGAATGCACCACAATTTCTCTGTACATTCATTTGTTGATGGGCATTTGGGCTGCTTCCATTTTATTGCTATTGTAAATAGCACTGCTATGAACATAGGTGTACAGATATCCATTTGTGTCTCAGTTCCAATTTCCTTGGGGTATATTCCCAGCAGTGAAATAGCTGGGTCATAATGGGATTTCTGTGTTCAGGGTTTTTTGTTTTGTTTTGTTTTGTTTTTATTATAAAATAGAGATTTTTTAATTAAGCGTCATTTAGTTTCTGCATAAAAATCACCGATTGAGTTTCTCATTGAGTTGTTTCTTCTTCATACACATGAAATCTTTGGGGATGTCTGCCCCAACAACTGGAAAAATATAGCTGTCTGTAGGGCTGGGATGACAATTAAGGCACTGAAGTGATATCTTGGGTCTCTGCAACAGAAGGGTTCACCTTACTCCTCTCAAGAGAACACGGAGGTTTTTTAGGTTAGAAAAGCAGTCCCTGAAGAAAGAATGTAGAAAGATGCAAACACAGGCATCTGTGGTCGATTATTTGTGCCCAACTGCTCTAAAAGAAACACCTTGGGCTCATCAAAGGCTTGCTGGCTGATTTCTGCTGCAAATACACTATTTGCCAAAAGACAGTGTTGAGAGGGTGGGTGGTTCAGACCACAAGGAAGCACACACTGGTTTGCGTCTTTGTTTTTAAGTTCCACGGTAAGAACCCGGCATAATTTCCAATCAAACTCATCATGGTCCTGAAAACGTCCCCATCAGCATGCTGCTCAATGCTGGCTCTGAAGGTGAGGTGGATCACGCTGTCCACCTTACCCCCAACCGTGCTCCAGGTGTGTAGAGGATAGCAGCACACACCAAAAAAACAACAACAACCAAAACCCAACAAAAAAAAAAACAACCCTAGGACTTGTTTATTAGAAACATTAATTGGTGTTTACCACACTAAAAATTAAGCTGTTGACAGTTTCAATCTCTCCATCCATCATGATGCTGCCTGTTGGTCCAGTCATAAGAATTAAGAGTCTTCATTTTCCTGACAATGAGATGCAATCCATACTGAAGGCTGCATTCTATGATCTTCAGCAACAAGTGCTTCAAGCCCTCCTCACTTTCAGCAACCAGTGTTGTGGCATCAGAATAATGCAAGTTATTGATGAGTCTCCCTCCAATCCTGATGCCACACTACTCCTGAGAGAGTCCAGCTTCTCAGATGATTTGCTCAGCATGTATATTTAATATGTATGGAGAGAATACAAACCTGACACACTCCCTTCCTAGTTCAGACCATGCAGTGTTCCCCTACTCCGTTCATACAACATGAGCACAATCTGGAATTCCCATCTCAATGTCAGCCACAACTTGATCTACATAATCAAACGCCTTTGCATAGTCAATAAAGCACAAATAGACATTCTTCTGGTGATCTTTACTTTCAGCCAGGATTCATCTGACATCAGCAATGATATCCCTGGTACCACGGCACCTTCTAAATCCTTCTTGAACTCCTCGCAGTTCCCCATTTTTGAATGTTCTTTAGCAGTATTTTACTTGCATATGACATCAATTATATTGTTCAGTAATTTCTACATTCACATGGATCACCTTTATTGGGATTGGGAACAAATAATGCACCTTTTTCAGTGTATTGGCAAGAGAGACATCCTCCAAATTTCCTGGTATGGACTAGTGAGTGCATCCAAAGCTGCATCTGTTAATTGAAACAAATCAGTCATTGTCCCCTTAATTCCTGGGGCCTTATTTTTTGCCAGTGCCTTTAGTGCAGCTTCTACTTCCTTCATTACCATTGGCTCCTGTTCAGGTGGTACTTCCTGAAATTTTTCAGTGTAAATAAATTCTTTCTGGTACAGTGATGGCATGTATTCCCTCCATCATATTTTAGTGCTTTCTGGGCCATTCAGTACATTGCCCATAGCATCTTTTAGTATTGTGAAATGATGCTTAAATTTGTTTTTCGGTTCTTTCAGCTTGAGAAATGGCTTCTTGAGACTCCATTGCAATTTTTAGAGTCTCTTCTGACATCTTTTTCAGTTTTTTCTTTCTCTGTTTTTGTAATGACGTTTTGTTTTCTTCATGGATGATATCCTTTCCCCACAACTCATCTGGTCTGAATTTAAGCCATCCATTTTTTTTCCCTTAAAATGGAACACTTCTTGCTGATCTTCTCTGTATCGTTCCAATTTTAGTATATGTGCTGCCGAAGCGAGCACTAAGCCATACATATTAAAGTTAATTGTTTAGTGTGGTTGGAATGGAAGTGTATAGAGCAGTTTGGTTTTCCATTCAAAACTACACATTGTGTTTGACAGCATTCATTGTAATCTCTCCATTGTCCATCCTTCCTTTCCGAGCTTTACCCCTGGGCAAGTGCTGCCTTCTTGATCCTGGGTGGTTTTTTACTCTGCTGCTGTTAGGTATGACTTATGTCAACAGTAGATCTGAACTCGTCCTCTCGTTTGCCATCCTCACAATTTCTGACACACTCAAGCCCATTGCTGCTGTCACTGTGTCAGTCCATCTGCTTGAGAGTTTTCCTTTCTCTCACTATTCTCCACCTTTCAAAGCATTGAGTCTGTCTCCATGGCATAACCTCTCCTAGCAACATTATGTGAGATGAAATTTTATTTTTTTTTTTTTGCCTCCAAGGAGCACTCTGGCTGCGGAAATACCTGTCCTTTTGGTAGTGCCTAGGATATCCAGTGCTCTTCTCCAACACCACAGTTCTAAGATGTGCATTTTTTTTCTTGGTGTTACTGATCACCTGAGTATAGGCCTGTCTAACTTGGATGGGATGAAAGTAGTTATGGGTGATTTCATATCACATGTGACTAATGAGTGACTAAGGGCTCTAGTCTTGAGGGTTCTGCCAGTGCATAAGGCTAGTTAGTCTCATCTTTTTTCTTTTTTTGACAGTGAAGGTTTTTTTACCACATTTTTTCACTACCTATCAGGGACCTTCTATACACACTTCATTTCAGAAGCTGAAATGAAAGATTTACATTATTAACATCTTTTTTGTTTTCATTTTTCTGATTCTTCATCCTCCAGTTGTTTTGCAGTTAGCATGTAATACCTTAGTAATAAAAGAGCTATGTTTATTAAAATCCTATGGAGCTCTCATGTTAAATGCTGTATCAAAAGAATCTTGGGATCCATTGCTTTTTAAGAACCAGCCATGTTTGGTGCAGAATGCCAAGAGTTTGATCCTCTGAGAGGTCAAATTTAGAAAGCTCTATCCTTATTATTTTGGCTAAAACATAAATCTTTGTCACGTAGGGCTATCACTGTGCGTGTTCCTGTGCATTCAGCAGGAGTTGTTGACATTCCCATCCTGGAGAAGGAGGTGCAAGGGCAGCAGCACCACTACAAGGTAGGTGAGTTTCTACCCAGAGGGTGGGGTTTTTTGCTCTTCCTTTGAGCCGTGTCTGATATTCTTGCTTCAGATGACGCTGGCCCCACGCTACCTCATGGACAATGGGAAAATCGTGAAAGTGCATGGCACTCGGAATGCACTTGTTGCTCTGACTCAGTACCAGGTGCTAAGCAGTACTTTCTCCTCCGCACTATTGGAACTCCTTCCTGTTACTGGTAAGCATGCTGCCAGTTTGCAGTTAGATAGAAGCAGCCCAGTGCTGCTGAGTTCCGTACAGGGTCTGATACTGGCTCCACCCTTTTCCTGAGTGGTGGAATTTGAGTGAGCTTAAGTTGTGGTTGACTGCAATGTACAAACCAATACTGTTTACCATTATTAAGGAACCTTGGTGGCATAGTACATAGCATATTGGCCTGCTAATTGAAAGGTCATCAATTCAAAACCACCAGTCTCTCTGCAGAAGAAAGATGAACAATCTCCTTTTGTAAAGAACTACAGCCTAGGAAACCTAATGAAGGTTGTTGTGATTAAGAGTCAGCTGATGGCAGTCTGTGTTATCATTGTTGTCTTACTCTAGGTTCTTCAGAGAAACAGGCAGAGAAGCATATGTGTAGATAGAAACACCTATCTCAAAGACAGTATAATGCTTGTTTCTTAAGATAGGAGTGCTTAGGAGTTTCTTGTTACTCAGTATACCTTATTATTATTTTTGGGATGTCCTAGTTTTACAGTGCTTCAATTTAATATGATTTGTAACAATATTAGCAGATATCAGTGGTATTATTCTGAGGCTCCTCATAGGTTTTTCTTTGATTTTTTTGTTTCTTTGGGTTTTTTTTAGGAGTAAAACATCAGCTTCGAGTTCACCTGTCTTTTGGTTTAGATTGTCCAGTCCTTGGTGACCACAAGTACTCAGACTGGAATAGATTGGCCCCCCAGGTAATACTGGTTTTATACAGTGTGTGACAAAAAGTTGAGAGCCTCAGGAACTTAAGCTCAGAAATGTTAGTCTTCAGCTAGGATGTAACTCTGTTGGTTTTCTGTTAAGAGAAATCCTGTTCTGCTGGAATTATAGCTGTTAGAAAAGCCACACTATTTCATTTGTTGAGGGGCAATGTTGGGAGAGTGTTTCTAAGGCTGCAATCGGCTTTTCATGCTATTGCTAATGAACTGGAATGGAATCTTTCATCTGTTGCTTTTATTACAGTCCATTCTCATGGAAAATCAGAACATTGGATTCTAAGAGCCTGGTGTGTTTGTCCTCCCAGTGGGATCAGGACCCTTCCTCAATAACTAAGAAGGGGGATATCCATTTTTCATTCTTCTAGGGGGATTGGCTGGTTTCCCTTCAGTGCAGTGCTCACTGTGCATACTGGTCAAGTTTGAGCTGTTGGTATTGCTCTTAACAGTCTGTCTTTTCTTTGTCTAGAAATTGTCTCTTAGCATCCTAAAGAAGCTGGGGCTAAAACAGTCGAAAGCCCGACATATCCCTCTTCACCTGCATGCCCGGCAATTGATCCTGCCTGCCTTGGGGTCCAGAAAGGAGGACCTCAACTTGATCTGCAAGCTTCCTCACTTCTTTGTGCAGTCCTTACACTGCTTGGGTTTAGAGATGCCCTGTAAAACAAGAGATGATGAAACAGGACACCTTGGAGCATGATGAAGACAGTTTGGGCTATGAACTGTTCTGTAATGAAGAACAAAGTTGGCATTGATGACTCCGTTAACTCATGGGACCCAAATTCTAGAAAAGCCAGGTGGGATCTTGATGAAAGTAGAGTCAGAGATTGTAATGAAGAAGAATAATCTCAGAAGCCAAAGGCACATGATTTTAATCCACCCAGTAAATACCCTGTGGTAAAAGGATGGGCCTTTTCTGCTTCAGAAAGCTGCTGAAGAGTAAGCTATGAGTTGGTTCTGACTCATCAGTGCACAAAAACTGACAGGTCGTTTAAGCTATGGATGAGTGAGAAATTTTCCTGCCTCAGGATTTCTAAAAATCACAGAACTAAATGGATTAGGTTAATAATTGGGAAATAATTAAAGAGCAAAATCCATTGTTAGGAACTGTATTTCTATAAAACCTGCTCTGTCAGGAAGGCTCTTGGTATTAGAAAGAATATGTTGACAGACATGTCATGGGATCCAGAGATGGGGCCTTATTGCTCTGTTCTTAAGTGTCTTCAACTTCTAACGACTCTGAACAACAGATCCAAACCTTGCTCTATCCTATACCATCCTCATAATCTTCATCTTGCTCATTATCAAAGCCCCTATGTCAATCCATTTTGTTGAGAGTCTTCCTCTTTTCAGTGACCCTCTACCTTTCCCAGCATGATATCTTTTTCAAGATCTCAATATGCCCAAAGTTTATGAGATGATGTTTCACCAACCATGCTTCTGAAGAACACCCTTATTGCACTTCCTCCATGAAACTTGTGATGAGTGTCTTTGGAGTGAGATAGAGCTGGAAAATTGCATCAACAAAGAAAGCAGATGAAAATTTATGTAAATGACAGAGCATAAGAGATTGATGGGGACAAAACCCCAGAGAGCTCATGCTGTCTAAAGAGAGTGATTGTTGGTCCAATTGCAGTTGCTGCTGGATTTTAATGTTTGCAGAGATTTATAAAACCTAGACTTAAATGTGAAATCTCTCAGCTACATCTAATAAAAACCTTAGGCAGGCAAGCAGATGGTATTTGCTGGTCAGCTTTGGTCCATAGGCTCTAAGTGGTGCACATATTTTACAAAGGTGTCATCTGGAAAGCTCTGGAAAAAGATTGGCATTTTTAGTTCTATGAAATTGATCTTTCTTAACCTGAAGATGACTTTCAGTGGGGGTGGCTTTTAAGTGCACGCAAGTTGACTATAACCTAGTGACACTATGGTGAGTAGATCTGTACCCTGCCCTGTTTGGTGCCATCCACACCATCCCTAATATATAGAACCCATTACAGTCAGTGTGTCAGTCAGTTCTCTTACTCTGACTCTTCACCTTTCCAAGCATGATGTGCTTTTCCAAGGAATTATCCTCTCCTAACAACATGCCCAAAGTATATGAGGCAAAGCTTCACCATCCTTAGTCCAAGGAGTGCCCTAGTTGCACTTTCTCTAAGACTTATTTTTTCTGTTGGCAGTTTGGCACATTCTCTATTTTTCTCCAACAACACAACTCAAATACTTTGATTATTCTTCAGTCATCCTTAGTGGTTGTCTTATTTTCAGATGCATAACAAATGATGCCTCCTGCAGAATATCAAAGACTACAGCCTTCAATACATCTCAGCATCAAGAAGACAGACATCCTCACCGTTGGACCAATAGGCAACTTCATGACAGATAAAAGAAAGATTGAAGCATTATTCTCTGTGTACCCTAGGCCATTTTCCCCAGCAACTTGAAGGCTCATGGTTTGGACGGCACATCCTGAGGGCCAAATGACTCACCCCAAGGGCCAATTGGCTCACCCTGAGGACTGGATAGTACACCCCAAGGGCTGAATGGCTCACCCTGAGGGCCAAACAGTTCACCCACTGAAGTACCCCCCCTCCCCCAGAGGACTGGACCCTGTGCCTCACCAAAGACCATGGCCAGGGACGGTGCTTCCGGTTCCGCTGCCACCACCATTACCTCCCTCTCCTCCACCAAGTGGTCAGACTGCAGTTTGAAGTAGGCATCACTGCCCTCCCCCTTTATAAATGGAGAAGGGGATTTGAGAGTGGTGAACAGACCCTTCCTAGGTTGAAAAAGTTCCTGACAGCAGAAGTCAAATCAAAAGATGTGGTGTATTGAGGATATATGCCATCTCCAATATGTTGCTGATGTTAAGGGTTATAAGTAGTAGACAACTCACAGTGACCCTTACCAATCGATTGTGTTGATGATCTTCTCTGGCCTGTCCAAGGAAATCTTCACTGATAGTGAGATGCTTCCCCTTATCAAGACCTTCACTTCTCACAGCTCCATGGCACCACCCCTGCTGCTGTTGCCAATGCTGCCCCTCATCTGCCCCCCCCCCCCCAGCTCCAGCTCCTGCACTGGGGGCCTGTGCTTCCCTTGCTGTGCAGGGGCTCTACCACGCCAACTGTGGGGCCCAGCACTCACCACCTGATCTAGGCTAGGGGACCAATGGACTCTGGCCATGGCAGCCACATAGGTTCGCGGCAGTGTGGGCTTTTTGGTGGCAGGCAGAGGGAGGAAGCGGGACCCACCCATGTTCCCCTGAGAATCCCTGTCCTCCTGATGTTGAGCTCCAGTACACACTGATGACCAGCATCAGCTGCTTGACTGGGCACTGCTCACCACACCGTGTCTCCTGCCTCTGCCATCTTGGTTCTGTGAAATCGTCCCAGAACAAGTCTATTCTGCAGCAGTGTGGAGACTCTGCTGTACCAGCCTTGGTGCCCAGTGCCCACCATCCGACCCAGATGAGGGTATCTCTGGGATCTGGCTGCAGGAGCCTCATGGAGCTGCAGAGGCAGCATGGCTTGGCAGTGGAGGGCTGGGAGCTACGGACTCTCCCATTCTTCTTTGGGAATCCTTGATTTCTTGATGTTGAGCTTCAATCCATATTGAAGACCAGTAATCAACTGTTTAATTTTTCAATTATAAATAAACAGAAGAGTGTAGAGGGCTATGGTGGATCGTTTCAATGCGGTTTGCTGTTCCTACAGCTCCTTAAGTTTTTCTGCCACTGCCACCATCTTGGCTCTCCTCTCTTTTGGTTTTCTAACTTAGCTTTTTGCACATTTCATAATACTTTGGTTTTTCCCCCCTTGCACTCCTTTGAAATCTGTTTATCTTTATGTCCACATTTCTTCCCTTTTTTTTTTGACCTCTCTGTTGTAGTGCAATTTTCAGTCTCCTCTGACATCCATTTTGGTCTTTTCTTTCTCTCCTGTCTTTGTAATGACCTTTTTGCTTTCTTCAAGGATAAATACTTGATGTCGTTCCACAGCTCATCTGGTCTTCAGTACTAAGTGTTCAAACATATTCCTGAGATAGTTTTAAAATTCAGGTGGGAAAAAAAAATAAAATTCAGGTGGAATAGACTCAAGTTTATATTTTGGATCTAGGACATTTGTTATTGAATGTAAGAGGTTTTTTCTGTAGTCAATCGCCAATAAGACAAACGATGCAATATCCATTAGCACTTTATTACAGATCGGTGGAGGACAGTGGGTCAGCCTCAAAGACTGCCTCCCTGACTGGGAGAGGTCACCAGGCTTTTATAATAGGGTGAGACACCAACTTATTTAACAATAAACTTTTGTTAGTAAAAATCAAAGAATTTCTATAATCTGAAAGAAACCCATTCACACTCAGATACTCCCTTTCCTGGCAAACAGGCAGATTAAGTTACAATTTACATATATGATTGGCAAAGACAATTTCAAAGAGAGATAACAGCTAATCTAGGAGATGCATCTCTTCTGATAGATTAAAGAAAGAAAACTAAGAATTCTAAGGTCAAGCATTTAGCCTTTCAGGCTGGAGAAAACTGATGCCAGTTTTATAACTATGGATCTATAACTGATACATAGAGAATTCTGAATTTATCAGTACCATCCCATCAAATTTGCTTTATTATTTCTTCAACTTCAGTTTGAACTTACACATGAGTAATTGATGGGTTACTACTATGACCGGGCTAACACCTTGGATCTTCAGTTATGGCTCAGACAAACAGAAACTCCAATCTGACTGGGCACTTCAGTATTATTCTGGACTGGCAGATCCCCTGTCTCAGGCCAAACGACTTGTTTTCTATCTCCCGTAGGATACATGTTTTTGTTTTATGGTATTTGCTTATATAATTTGTTCTTGTGAGTACAGGGAGCTTTGGTGGCTTAGTGGTAAGGAGTAGCACTGACATTCCAAAGGCACTGGATTTGAATCCACCAATTGGTCCCTAGGAGAAAGATGAAGAGTCTCCACCTGTGTGATTTACAACTTAAGAAAATGGTCAGGTGTGAGTTCATTTCTGACTCAACAGCACCTAAAAACAACAACTTATGAGTACAGCACTTGATGTCATTGTGTTGTACTGGGAAGATTACTTGTGTATTTCTGTGATGCTCCTTGTGTGTGTGTATATATATATATCGAGTCACAAGAATATATATACTTGCTGGCTTATAGTTTCCTTTTATAGGGCCAGCTAGTTTTATAGGGCCAGACTAGTTTGCTGTAGTGGAGTGATTTGTGTGTTGTTGTGGTAATGATGTAAACTGTGCTGTCAGTATGTCAGATACTATCACAGAGCCCCCAGTTGTGGACAGGTTTCAGTAGAGCTTTAGACAGATTGAAAGCAAGGCTGGCTATTCACTTTTGAAATGAAAGGCCTTAAAAAATTCTATGAATAAAAGAGGAATAGTTTTAGATATAGTACTTGATTGCTATGCATCAAAGAGCTGGACAATGACTAAAGAGGATCGAAAAAGAACCAATGCCTTTGCATTGTGGTGCTGGAGAAGAGTGTTGAACATACTGTGGACTACCAGGAGTACAGTTCTGTCCTGGAGAGGGTGAAACCAAGATACTCCTCAGAGGCAAGGATTTTGAAGCTCCATCTCACATACTTTGGGCATGTGGCCAGGAGGGACTAATCTTTGGAGAAAGGACATCATACTTAGAAGGGTGGAGGTACAGCGCAGG